TGTGTGTGTGTGTGTGTGTGTGTGTATGTGTGTGTGTGTGTGTGTGTGTGTGTGTGTGTGTGTGTGTGTGTGTGTGTGTGTGTGTGTGTGTGTGTGTATGTGTATTCTTTTTTAAAAGAATTTACTTAAAACGATATCTTTTTAAATAACAATTCTTTTTAAACTTTGTACTATTTTACGTTACGCTACTTTATAGATTTTCTTTGTTAAAGAACTGTTGTTATGCATTCTGCAATAAGTCGATTTGCGACGCACGGCTCCTTCAGCCGCCGCCTTTTATTGGCCTTAAATGTTCACGGCGCTTCTTGCGCCGAAAATTTCATTTCGCGCTCGAATAAATTCCCCAGTGATGGATTAACACCATTACGTGCGGAGATTTATGTCGCCAGGATTTTTTCTCCTTTTTTTATGCCGATTTCTTATCTCTTCCAGGATTCGCCCTGGAATTACGCGGATCCAAAGCTATGAAAGATTTGGCACCTTGATTTCAAGAATCGAGGATCGTCGAAAATAGAAAACATAATAGATTAAATAAATTAAAAATAAAATGGAATAGAAATGCAATTCCGAAGATAAATTCGGAATTTACAGTATAAATCAAATTAAGAGTACAATCGAAAATAAAAATAATCATTTCGTCGAGCATGTGATAAATTAAAATGAAACTTTAAAACGCAAATATAAATTTAACTAACGTAAAGACGTGAAAATTAAAACAGAAATTTGATTTAATGATGAAGCTAAATAAAAAATTGTAAGTTATTGAATGTTTTTCGCCGTAATTCAAGTTTTTCAAAATTGCTTGCACAGGAACGCAGTTTTCCCGGGCAACACGTTCGGTGCGTCGTAAATAATCGTCGAATAGATATTCGTCGCAGCATCCTCCGGAACTTTCCGCACATCGTCATGCAGACACGCGTGCAAACACGCGTGTACGCACACCTGCACTCGTACGCCCCCGAGCCGAGCGAGACGACGTTAAGATCGATCGCCGAGCCAAGTCACGTCAGCGCACTTCATTTTCACGGCCGGGCCGCAATAAAGCAAGGAGAAATCCTATTTATCCTCCGTCACGATATTCGAACTCGGTTGAATTTAATAAGCGCTGATTGCGAACGGCGAACGCCGTTAAAAGTGTTCGCGCGCCCGCCCGTCAAATTTAACTTGGCGCCTGCATTATGTCCAATTAGCCGCTCGAGCGGAAATGAATCCTCGCTGCGCATTACACTCGATATTAATAATTGCGAATCCATAATCGGGATTCGGAGGACGCGATGGGCCCGAGAATTGCGAGAATTTTGTAACAACGTTAATTATGACATATATTAAAGTTATATGTTAAAAATGTGCATTGATAATACATATATGTAATACATATTAATAAGAATAACTAAATATTTAGTATTTGATATTCATGACACATACACACACACACACACACACACACACACACACACGCGCGCTCTCTCTCTCTC